CTTTTCCTTTGAGAAATAAAAGATTTGAATTTCCGTTTCATATTGTTTATTCTGATGTTTGGGGCCCTGTTACTCTACCTACTGAGGCTGGATATAAGTACTTCATTACCTTGATCGATGATTACTCTAGATACACCTGGGTTTACCCTATGCGGTCTAGAGAGGAAGTGCCTAAAATTGTGAAAGACTTTCAACGCATGGTGTTCACTTAGTTCCAAATTGAAATTCATATTTTCCAATCGGACAATGCAAAGGAATACTTCCATAGTGATCTCACAGAATTCTTTGCTTCGAGTGGATCATTTCAACGAATCTCTTGTGCTAGGACACCTCAACAAAGCGGTGTTGCTAAAAGAAAAAACCGTCATCTTCTTGAAGTAGATCGTGGCTTGTTAATCCATATGAATGTTCCAAAGCGCTTTTGGATGGATGCTGTTCTGTGTGCTACGTACATCATCAACCGTATTCCCTCTCGGTTACTAGAGTATAAGGCTCCACATTAGCTTTTGTTTACTACAACTCTGTTGTTCCCCATTCCAATGCGTGTTTTTGGGTGTTGTTGCTTTGTTCATAACTTGTCACCTACTCGGGGTAAACTTGATCCTTGTGCTATTCCTTGTGTCTTCCTTGGTTACCCTCTATCTCAAAAGGGGTACTGTTGCTATGATCCCGTTTCTTGTAAATACTATGTCTCAATAGATGTGTCATTATTTGAGAATCAACCTTTCTTCTCGGTTTCTCCTCAGGGGGAGAGTAGGGTTGAGGAGAAACAGGCTCAGACTCAACTACCTCCTCTACCTTACCCTCCATTCCGTGTCTTTCTTCGCCGCCACAAAAGCCAGTAGAGTTCAAGAGCCGTGGAACCTGACACTATGCAACCAACATCATCGGCTTCATCAGAGGTTGATCCTTCCCATCAGCTAGGTACACTTGCTTCTATTGATATGCTTGCTCCTCTCAATGTTGATTCCCCTATCATAAATGATCTTGATGTTCCTATTGCTAAGAGAAAGGATGTTAGATCTTGTACCACTAACCATCCTATCTCTCACTTTGTGTCCTATGATATTTCATTTTCATATCGTGCATTCCTCTCCTCTGTTGACAGTATCCCCGTTCCTAAGAATGTGGCAGAAGCTTTATCCAAACCTGAATTGACAGATGCAATGAAGGAAGAGATTGATGCATTACACAAAAATGGCACTTGGGAGTTGGTGGATCTTCCTGAAGGGAAGGAACCAGTGGGGTGCAAGTGGGTGTTCACAGTGAAACACAATGCTGATGGAACTGTTGAAAGGTACAAGGCCAAACTGGTGGCAAAAGGTTTTACACAAGTATATGGAGTGGACTATGCAGAGACTTTTGCCCCAGTAGCCAAGATGAAATCTATCAGAATTCTCCTTTCACTAGCGGCAAATCTTGACTGGGAGCTGCACCAATTGGACATCAAAAATGCTTTTTTGAATGGTGGCTTAGAAGAGGAAGTGTACATGACCCAACCTCCAGGTTTTTGTGCTAAAGCCAGTGAACAGAAAGTGTGCAGGTTAAAAAAAATCTTTATATGGGCTGAAACAATCTCCTCGGGCTTGTTTTAGTAAGTTCCACTCAGCAATTCAGCAGATGGGGTTCAAACAATGCATCACACACTATTTCTAAAGAAAGGTGAAGGAAAAATTGCAGCTCTAATTGTGTATGTGGATGACATAGTGATCACAGGAGATTGGGAGGCTGAAATACAGAGACTAAAAAAGTTCTTAGCCACTCAATTTGAGGTGAAAGATCTAGGMCCYTTAYGTTAYTTCCTTGGAATTGAAGTTGCCCGCTCTCACAAGGGCATCTTTATTTTCCAACAGAAATATGTACTAGATCTACTAGAAGATACAGGCAAATTGGGGGTGAGACCAATTGACTCACCAATTGAACATAACCATCATCTGGGAGACAGTCAGGGAGAGTTCTTGAAAGATGTGAAGAGGTTTCAGAGACTTGTAGGGAGACTCTTGTATTTGTCTATGACCAGGCCTGATATTGCTTATGCAGTGGGTGTCCTTATCAGTTCATGCACAATCCTAAGACAACTCACCTTGAAGCTGCAGAGAGGATCCTCAGATACCTCAAGAAGTTTCCTGGAGCTGGTTTGCTGTTCCAGAAACATGGACATTTAAAGGTGGAGGTATATATTGATG